GTTATGGAAAACTACAACTCTCTGCTTGTTGGTACTTCTGATGGGCTAATTCTAATAGGAAACGTTTGAATGGTTACTTCGTTTGTCATTAAATTTGAAAGCATCAGAGATATCGCTTGTTTGTGCTTTAGGACCTCTAAGGATAAGTTGGGTGTTGTGTATAATTTCTAACCTCCTAGCCTTTCATGGATCATTAAGAAAACATATTACACGGACAGAAGAGTGGTTGGTATGAAATGAAATGGTAATCTTATGCTTTAGGAGGATTATCGTGGGTCTAATTTCAAAACTATTGATATAGAGCAAGAAAATGTCAATATTGAGCTCTTAGGGACCATTGCTCTTGACGACTACCTGACTGTTGAGGATATTTAGTTCTAAATTATGGTTTACTATATGTATTATATGAGACCCTTTATTATAGGCAAATATCTTTGTATGATTAAGGATATTTAGCCTTCCTTTACGGTTTACCATAGGTATCATATTTGACCATTTATTATAGGCAAATATTTTATATGATATTTAGCCTTCCATTACGGTTTACTAGGGATCATATTTGACATTTTATTATAAGCAAATATATTGTATCCACTTATTGCTCTTTCCATTTTCTTTGTAATTCATTTGATTTCGTAAATGATTATAAATATAGAACTTTCACCACCATTTAGGTGTGGTGGTTTTAGCAAATATTCTCACTGACCCTATAACATTTAGTCTACAAAAAAAAATTGTAACATTTTAACCCATTCCCTCAAAGTTCTTTTTATTTTTGCATATGTCCCAATCTACTAGCTCAATAGAGGGTGGTGAGAATATTTGCTAAAACCACCCCACCTAAATGGTGGTGAAATTCGCTATTTATAATCATTTATAGAATCAAATAAATTACAAAGAAAATGGAAAGAGCAATAAATGGATACAAGATATTGCCTATAATAAAATGGTAAATATGATATTTATGGTAAATTAAATATCATACAAGATATTTGCCTATAATAGATGGTCAAATATGATACCTATGGTAAACTGTAATGGAAGGAAAAATATCCTCAATCATACAAGATATTTGCCTATAAAAAGGGTAAACCATAATTCAGGACTAAGTATTTTTAACAGATGATTTAGTTAAACGCCAAGTATTTCTGACACAGGCAATTTAAGTGTTAATATTGGAGTTGTTACATTAGCTTACATCTGGGGAGTTTAGTTATGTGATAAGAACTTTCTGCTATCAGCGTGTACCTTTCCTGAAAGTGTTGCTACACATTTATTCTTGGAGTTTGATGGCACCAGTGTGGAATTATCTACTGTCCCCAACTCTCAAGAATAACTACTAGCATCTAGACCATAATGGAGTAATTTAACTTGAGGTGTGGAATTTGTTGTGTTAGAATCAGGTTTCAATGTAAGAGAGGACACAGAAGATTTGGGTTCTTTCCAATGACCCAACAGAGTGAAGAAAAACAGAGGAGAAAAGGGAACTGTTAATGCCTCGTGAAAATGAAGTTTATGGCTCAGCTGGGACAGAGCAAGAAATTTTGTTAGGGAGGGTTACTTTTTTACATCCCAGCACATTACATTTATGGTCTCAACTCAAAAAGTTTTGGGAGGGAAAATTTAGAGGAGAAACTATTCAATCATATATTTAATTTATACCTTTTGAATACTATATTATATTAGCATGGATCAAATCAAGTGCTCCTCCTCTCTGGCTCTGCCCATGTAGTAAGTCATTATCACTTTAAAAGAGAGCCCTTTGGACTTGATTGTAGATCCACTTTTGTGTTCAGAGTATCTTTCGGGAAAATATCCAAAGACGATAAGAGGCTTTTTTGTTTCGAGTCTTATATTATCTTAGCATGGAGCAAATCGGATATATATATATATATATATATATATATATATATATATATATATATATATTAATAGGAAATGATTAGTATATTAGAGAAGGCCAAAATAAAGGCCACACACCCAAGGGTGGAGGGTAGAGGGTAGAGGAAACCCCATCCAAAAATTAACGAACGAGAGGTCTTCCGATCGGTTATAATGAGAAGAAGGTTGTAATTACATAAGAATTTATGGTGGTTTGATACGGTACCCAGAAACTGTATGTTTCACACCATTCAAACCGGAATGAAAAGGTAATAACTTATCTTCCAGCATTTTGGTTTCCTCTCTCCAAGTGTGTCAAAGCAGACCTTGAATTCTGAATCCATGTCTGCATATCTCTTGTTCTTTTTTTTTTTTTTTTTTTTTTTTTTTTTTTTTTTTTTTTTTTTGCAATCCTCCTAAGCTTTTNCTCTCTGGATGATGAGGCTTTATAAGCTATCGCCACAATTATCAATCACTTCTAAATTTATTGCCTATTTATTTCTTTGTCATCTTTTCTTACCTCTGGTTTTCTTGTGGCCATTTTGGAAAATGAAATGCAGAAGAAGAAACTGATCCATATAGAATTCCCTACAAAAACAATATAAGAATGGCATTGTATTGGCTAGTACAAGGTTGTCAACCAGGTGATTCCTTGGTATTCCATTATTCTGGCCATGGTTCTCGCCAAAGGAACTATAATGGTGACGAAGTAGATGGATATGATGAAACTCTTTGCCCTCTGGACTTCGAAACTCAGGGAATGATTGTTGATGATGAAATTAATACGGCAATTGTTAAACCTCTTCCTCAAGGTGTAAAGCTTCATGCATTCATAGATGCTTGCCACAGCGGAACCGTACTAGATTTGCCATTTCTATGCAGAATGAGAAGGTTGGTATTACATAAATATGGTTATGCTTTTTAGCTGAGACATAATGTGAGATGCGGATGTTGCTCACACCGAAGTTGCAAGCACATTGATAGTTATAACTATCCAAAAGATTTAGTAGTGTATATCTTCACTTTTAATTGTTGAATGTCTCTTGGATTCAACTTTTCATTCTTCAATTTCCCTCTTGGTCATAGGAGCGGACAATACATGTGGGAGGACCATCGCCCTCGATCTGGAGTATGGAAGGGAACTAGTGGCGGGGAAGCTATTTCGTTCAGTGGTTGTGATGATAACGAAACCTCAGCCGATACATCTGTAAGTTTACTAATCCACAATTCTTTTTATCCCTATAGCATTGCTTTAGATCTGAAATGCAATGATACTGAGCTAATTACTTAAATGGAAACAGGCTCTATCAAAGATAACATCAACAGGTGCCATGACTTTCTGCTTCATCCAAGCGATTGAGCGGGGCCATGGAACTACATATGGAAGCATACTGAACTCGATGCGAAACGCTATAAAAAATGCTGGTGGTAGTGGTGACATTGGTGGTGGTGCTGTGACATCTTTGGTTACCATGCTTTTGACTGGAGGGAGTGCCATCGGTGGGCTCAGACAGGTACTTCACTTTTCGTGGTAGATCATCTGGTTTGTTCAAGAGTTCCATGTTTGAGGTTGCATGAATGCATAGAATCCACTAACCATGCTTAGTATATTGTTGTTAAGAACTTTAGTTCAAATTTCATTCCTGTTAAAAGGCTTCTAATTGTTGGTTATTTGCAGGAGCCACAATTAACCGCGTGTCAGCCGTTCGATGTCTACACGAAACCTTTCTCTCTGTGATTTCCTTTTCTTGATTGATCTAGAAGAGGGGATGGACCAAGGTTACATTTGAAGGAGGAGTATGTTATGTTGGCCTATTTCTCTACTTGCTTGTTGAAATTATATGTTCATGATATATATTGTAATGGGAAATTTAAGGCAATTTAAATGCAGATTGTAGTGCACATGGATTGATGATATAGAACTGCAATTCTGGTGTTGGAATTCGACTTGTTATCGTGAATTTTCGACTGCAAGGACTAATATAAGGAAAGAGATTAAAACCTATCACTCGCGATACTAAAATGAGATTAAGAACACGTTTGAGAGTGATTTTAAAATGGCTAATTTGTCGTATTCAAAATTATTTTCAAATAAGTCTTTAATCATTTATAAATACTTTTGATGGTTTAAAAGGGTTATCAAATAAGTCTTTAATCATTTATAAATATTTTTTATGGTATAAAAATGACCGAAAAATATAAGTATTTCAAAATTATTTTTATGAATGATTTTAGAACATCGATTATTTTTTGTGGCCTTAATTATGAAAATGTGGCGAACAATGAAATGATGTGGAGATGTCAAGCAAAGTAGGACCAAATTCCAAGAATTTTTTATTCTTTGTTTTTAAGATTATATTTTTTATTCTTTGTTTTTAAGATTATAGACTATTCCTATAGACTAACACGCAGATACATTGTCTCAAGCAAAACACACTCAATTTTGAGTTTATATGATTGAGCTATAAACTGCACTTTATAGGTAAAGGTAGTAACTTTCGGTTTAAGTCTTTCTTAACTTTCGGTTTAAGTCTTTCTTAACCATCTATTCTTAGAATCACTTTCATTCGAACACGTGATCCCGGTTTATTCATGTACTCTTCATTTACTCGGGTATCACAATTTAATTAAAAACTATCTCATGTAAAAATCATGTATTAATGACCAGTAAAGGCTATCATTATCTCAAAATTTGTGTTATCATTATCTATCTCAAATTACAAGTTCGTTAAAACATTATTTATTACAAATAAGACAATGTAGAAGTTCGTTAAAACATTATTTATTACAAATAAGACAATGTAGAAGTTCGTTAAAACATTATTTATTACAAATAAGATAACGTAGAAGTTCGTTAAAACATTATTTATTACAAATAAGACAATGTATAAGTTCATTAAAACATTATTTATTACTAATAAAACAACGTAGAAGTTCGTTAAAACATTATTTATTACAAATAAGACAACATAGAAGTTCGTTAGAACATTATTTATTACAAATCAGACAACGTAGAAGTTCGTTAAAACATTATTTATTACAAATTAGACAGTTCATTAGAACATTATTTATTACAAATCAGACAACGTAGACTTAAACTTCTATGGAGATAGATAATATTTTAAGGAACTTGTAATTCCTTATTTTAATCATATTTCCAATTAACTTTAAAAGATATTACTTCTACAAACATTTTTTCTAATACAAAAAATGTGAGGGATATAAATTTAAACCGTCTTAACGACATCAAACAAAAAAGTAAATATCAAAATCGCTGAGCTATGCCCGAGTTAATCGCTGAGCTACACCCGTGTTAATCGCTGAACTATGCTGGTATTAATGGGTGAGCTATCACCTTCCTTCATGCACTATTAGACTTCCAAAAAGCAAAACATCAAAGACCAATCTGAGAGTTTTGTTGGTACCAAATCCCAAGCTGAAAACGACAGAGTACGGAAACAGAGACCCATCAGCATCCGCCGCGTCTACCATCTGAACGGTTGGAAGTTGAGTCCACGAGCCAACTCGGCCTGGTCAAACACACAAACAGGCACCAAACTTTGCGTATCTGAATTGCTTTTATTTTATCCCTTTTCTGCTTCTATTCCGCCACTGAATTCAATGCTCCCACCAAACTTCACGAGATCATCAAATCAAAGAGAAAACAATCAAGAACAACTCAACAAACCCATAAATTTGGACTCTCTGGATCCTGAAACTTCAAGCCAGGGCCATATTATTAGCCTTTTCTCTAATTCACCCCACCTGGGTCTCATCGATCTCCTGAAGAAGAAGAAGAAGAGAAGAAGATGATGATGATGATGATGATGAAGATGAAGAAGAAGAAGTCAGAAAAAGAATGCTCCTCAAATTTCCTTACACTGTTAGCCAAATTCTTGATTGGACTGTCTCAAGTAAGGAACAAGGAAACAATAAGGGAGTCTCAATAGCCCCCTTTTTGTCTGTCTTTTTGCTGAGAAGTAATACCAAACAGGTTTTTTCTCCACCATTGTCTTCTTTTGTCTCCTTGTTTTCCCCCCATTTTCTCCTTTTTCTTCTTCTTCACGTTGCTGTTGTTGTTTTTCCCTGTTGGTTTCGAGTTTTTTTGATCTGTTTACGGATCCAACATCGAGATTCTTCATGCTGTCTTTCTCTTGTTTTCTCTTCTGTGTTTGCTTGTGTCCATCTCTATAAGTTGTGGTGTTTTCAGATCTTCTTTTGGAGATCAATTGCAAAGAGGCTCAAAATAACAACTTGAGGCAACTGCCAAATTTCCAGAAGATTATATAGAAAATGAAGTGCTTCTTCTACTTCAGAAACAAGAACAGGAGTAGGCATCAAAGATCGGCACCTGAATTGAAAGAGCAGCAAGAATCCGACATTTCGGGGTGTAGTCGGACAGCTGCTTCTTTGAGCTCCCTGACTTCTCCCCGGAGTGTACCTGAATTGTATGAAGAGAAAGCACATAATTTGAGAGTTTTCTCATTTACAGAGCTCAGACAGGCAACACATGACTTTAACAGGCTTCTTAAGATCGGGCAAGGGGGGTTTGGGAGTGTCTTCAAAGGCTCAATTAAGCCTGTTGATGGGAAAGGAGAACCCCTAGTTGTTGCTATCAAGCAATTGAGCAAGGATGGCTTACAGGTACGGATATTCACCTTAGAAGTAAGCGTTAAGGGCTTGTTTGAATGTTCTGCTTTGAATTTAATGGATGAATTTCTCCATATTATATGCATCCAGTACAAAAAATCATCAATGGAAAAGAATGCTAATTATGCTAAAGGGGAAATGACATAGAATAGAAGTGATTTTTTACATACCGGGTTTGTTTTGCAAATAGGGCCACAAGCAATGGCTGGCTGAAGTTCAATTTCTTAGTATTGTGGAGCATCCAAATCTTGTCAAACTCATAGGATACTGTGCTGTGGATGGAGAAAGAGGAATTCAAAGACTTCTTGTTTATGAGTACATGCCGAACAGAAGCTTGGAAGATCATCTCTTCAACAAGGCGCTACCGGCGCTCGCTTGGAAAACAAGATTGCAGATAGTACTTGGTGCAGCTCAGGGATTGGCTTACCTGCATGAAGGATTGGAAATTCAGGTACCATATCTGCTTAACTAGAATTCAATGTCAGCTACAGGGAATGCTACCTTGACCCTGCTACTTCTAACACTCGAACTGTCCTCGCAAAAGTTTTTCATCCTTCAGAACTTCCCGGACTATTAAATTTAATTTCATTATCTTCTAATAATGGCGCAGATAATATACAGAGATTTCAAGAGCTCAAATGTGTTACTAGATGAGAACTTTCATCCAAAACTTTCAGATTTCGGGCTTGCCAGGGAAGGGCCAGAAATTGGGCATACTCATGTTTCGACAGCAGTAAGCGTTCTTTTCGTCTTCCCTTCTAATCACTCTCAGGCTGCATTGCTGCTTACAGTGAACTACTTTGTGTACAACACAGGTAATGGGGACAAATGGATATGCAGCTCCAGATTACATAAAGACAGGTCATCTCACAGCAAAAAGCGATGTATGGAGCCTCGGTGTTGTACTTTATGAGATTCTGACAGGAAGACGATCATTGGAGAGACATCGGTCGAGACTGGAGCAGAGACTTGTGGAATGGGTTAAACATTTCAATCCTGACAGCAACAGGTTTAGCTTGATAATAGATCCACGGCTTGAAAACCAGTATCCTATCAATGCAGCTAGAAAAGTAGCTAAGTTAGCAGATACTTGCCTGGCAAAGAATGCAAAGGATAGGCCCTCCATGGCTGAGGTAGTGAACAGATTGAAGCTGATCATCAAAGCTGAGGATGTCAGCGAACCTTACGCGAAAAGTCCTGATTCTGTCAATGACGAACCCGACATGGAAAGAGAGCCAGAGAAAATGGAAGCACCGATGTCGTGGAGAAGGCGAATGAGCCACCTGCAGAAACTGGGAGAGCATGTGGAGGGTGCAAGTAGAAGAAGATTTATGATAATGCAAAGGGCAAAAGTGCCTTAAAAAACTTAGGTTTTTTCTCATTCAGAATCAGATTTTGGTATATAGACTAAGCTGCAGTTTTGAAAGCAAAAAAACAGAGTAGAAAAGAATTTCAGTCAAGAGAAACATTGAGGCAGAACATAGGACACAAACTAGAAAGTCTACTGCCGGTGGTGAACAGAAGCTAATGTAAATAGTCTAATTGAGTTATTTTATTCTATTGTTTCAATGCTTCAGCTTTTGCTCTATGGGGCCCAGAAAACAAAACCAATTATTTTAATAAAATCTGAAGATAAAATGCTTCAGATTTTATTCTATTGTTTAATGAAATATATTATAAAGATATAGATATTGGCTGGTCATGGTGGGGAGGTTTCCATCTGCATCCACTAGAAAAAACTCATATCTATTTTGACCATAGGCCACTCTAGGTACTTATTATACCTCATCTTAGCAGTTAAGAGGAAGGAGTGAAGGAAACAAAAAATAAATAAACAGCCTCTGCTTTCATTCTCAAAACCCAGAAATTCTCCATTCAATTCAATTAGTATTATCATTCCACTCGCTGCATTACTCATCAACCTATATGATATTTAATTTACAGGCCCCTTGATAGCTGGCGATTTGGGACTAGAAGCCATTAAGATGGGCAGCCTATGTTGAAATCAATGGATAAAAGAAACACACCAAAGTGGTAAATAAGTAGGAAATGATGAGACTAAGTAAAAGAGCATTCAAACTACAAAGTATCATTGCCATAGGAATTCTTCAATGTGTTACTGTTAATTGAGGTAAAAAAATATAGCTATTGTGCCGGTGTTATAACTTATAGTGATCCAATAGAGGGTTCAGGGTTAAATTATAGACCGAGCTACTGAATTATATAGTACCTATCACACATCATGGTTATCTCCAAAGCCACAAAAAAAAAAAAAAAAAAAAAAAAAAAAAAAAAAAAAAAAAAAAAAAAAAAAAAAAAAAAAAAAAAAAAAAAAAAAAAAAAAAA